TAGGTGGGGTAACCTACCTGTCTATATAGTCTGTAATTTTATCTAAAACATTGCTTGATAGGTTGGGTAACCCCAACCAGGTGGGTTGCCTGGTTGCTGGGTAGGGTAACCCAGTCAGCCACATCACAATCTGCCATGTAAACTTCTCAAGGTGGGGTAACCCGCCTAGTGGGAGTCAAGTTCAAGTTATATTTACAAACATGCCAAGAACCTCACTGGGTGATCCCAGGGTTGTAAGATTATATGTAAAAGTAGGCTATTTTTCAATCATGGCTATGTGGGTTACCTAATCTACCTGGGGTCCCTCACCTTCACGTAAAGAGGCTCTAAATGTCAGAGTACAGACATACCTGTTAAATGAAATTATCAGAAGGACTATGTTAAGTTGTATTTCTTTTTGTTAGGTGCATGGGGTGTTGGACTTGCAACCAAAAGATGTGATTTAAACAAGATACCATTAGGAAATAATTCAGAAAGTTGGGTCCTTAGGTCTGATGGCACTGTAGCTCACAATGGAACTGTAAGACACAGACTGAGAGAAATACCAGAAGAAGGAGACATGATTGTAAGTCTGTCTGTAAACTAATTCATGATACTCAGGGGGGGGGCAGGGTGGTTTTTGGATGCTCCTGTCCTCCCCTTTCCTCCTTGTGTGTTTTTTTTTGTTTTTTTTTTCAAGTCAGTAACATACAAATCTTATAATTTGAGTTTGCAAAGAGGTGTCAATTGCAAGAATTTATGTGGCATTAATTTTTCACTAGTGCTTGGTTCCCCTTATTTGTCAATTCATCTTACTGCATCAATATGAGCCTGCTGAAGAAGAAAAGTAGTATAAGCTTCCTCTTGTAAGACACGCAGAAAGTACTAACTTTGAAAAATATAAGCTAAACACAGTGGTCAAATGTCGCACATGCACAGGTGGAGCAGTTTTTAAGTTGCATGCCAATTTGTTATGCAAAATTTTAAAGGAATACACACAAAATAATTGCTATCATACAAACTATGCAAAAAGAAAATTAAAAATGTTCATAGAAATTGGTAAAAAGGAAACAACAGTGGGGAGAAGGAAAACTTGAGACTTCTCTAACACAACGCATATTCAATTACAGGCATCCTTTACTTATAACAGACATTTGACCACTGTTTTTATCAGCTATGCTCTCATTATCTCTAATATCGAAATTTTATAGTAAACATGTCAATATTATTAATAACAAAATTAAATCTTGACCCAAGATCAGCACTGGCTCATTAAATTAAATAGGACTGGCATGCGCATGGAACTTGCTAAATCAGTGGATTTTGGCCCAGCTCAACTTATGGAGTTGATTGCGGTTTTGTTTCAGGCCTGTACCTATGACCATGTAGAGCTTAATTTCTATCACAATGGAAAACATTTGCACTGTCCTATAACGGGTATGAAAGGAACAGTATACCCAGTATTTTATGGTAGGTATTAATTTGACACAGCCTTACCACTAACAATGAGAATTATTAGACCTCTCGGTCCTCAGAGCCATAGTATCAGCCTTTTTTAAGGTTGGAAACAAAAATACCAGACCTATGATTAATTAAAAGCATTTTTATGGTTGGCATGTACAAAAACACTCATGCAAGGTTAAGGAGAATTAGTAGCACTGTGAAAACACTTTATGCTAGGTTTCTTTGGAGATCGTCCTTTTAAGCCCTGCTTAAAAAAGTGTGTATCACTATCTTGCAAAGTTATTTTATTTATAAAGAATTTTAATAGCTCTGTTGATTGACTGTTGTATAATTAATTAGACTGGTGTGTGGAATAAAGCACTGGGTGACTTTTGATCAACACTAACTTCTCCCTATGTTTCACAAGGGAATATCAGACAATTTAAACAGAGAATCTGGCAGTCAATTAGAAAGCACCTCTGATTCTTTCTATTAACCCCTTCTTTTGAGTTCATGGGAAGAAATGACAGGTCTTGGTCCCTATTAGTAGTTCAGACAGCCATTATCCATTATATGTCTGCTCTTTTAATTTTAAGATGCAAGTGGTGCTTCATTTTTTTTTAATCCTGTTTTCTTGCAGTTGACGATGGTTCAATCCTTGATGTTAGTTTCAGTGAATTTGTTTACCATGCTCCAGAGGGATTTCAGAAGATTATGTTTGAGAAAAATCTGCTATGACCCATTGCTAAATGGGTTGCATTAGAATTGTACCTAAAATAATCAATTATCTCATCACAAAATATTGTTGTGGTTTGAAATGTTTCAAGTCAAAATTACTTTAAACTAGGTTCATTCATATTTTCTATTGTTCCAAGTAGATTACTATAATATTATTATTCAATAAAGAAAGAAACAAATAAACCTAGTTTGAATTCATTTTAACCTGAATTTCAATCCAACCTATAATATCATAAAACTTTGTTCAGTGTGATGAATGATTTCAATGCTCCAGTACAAAATTCTAGTATCTTGTAGAGTTTAATTGAATTAGAAGGTTATGTCACAGGATATGAATTTCTAATAATAACTAGAAAGTAAAATCCATGGAAAAAGGAAGACTTAACATTGATGATTTATAACATAGAGCTGGTTATTTATACAAGGTCTAACCCAAACCATGGTTTTACACAATCAGTGTGCCATAGGCTTTCCCTAGAATAGGAGAGGGTTGATTTCATTTTAAAAGAAATGTCCTTCAATTGTTAACATTTGGCTCTCTTGACACTGTTCACAAAAATAAATGTTCAGATAAAGGTCCAGCTAAATTGAGGATTGTTTAGGACACAGTGTTGTTGAAGAACAGCTGAGCTTTGTTTAAATAACCAGCCAATGCAGTTTTCTTGAAGCCAATATTCTTTGTTAGTATTTTGTTTTACTATTATGAGGTTTAATTGATGATATCTGACAAGTTATATAACAAATCTGACCAATTCTATACAGACCAGGCATGTAATTCATGTCTCAATTTTTTACCATACAATAACAAGCAATATATTCAGACAGATAAAGATTTCAAAAGATGTTCACAACTAAAGTGAGAAAATGTATAGCAGTGTGTAGAGTTGAGAGAGTAGTTATGAGTCTAAAAGAATGAAATAACAGGAAGTTATATAATTAATTTTTTTCTCTTTTTCCTCCAATATTGAAATTTTAACTCCTCAGAATGGGATAATATTTTTCTTATAGTCACATAGTCACATAGCCAGAATGTAATTCAGTTTCTTTTTGTTTTTTATCAAATTGATATGTCTGGACCAATATTCTAACCAAGCTTTTTTCCTATGCTTCTGAGTATTCAAAGGTATATAGAGTTTTTCTAACATACAATATTATATAGGGTGCCTAACTAAGGGCATCTTGTAATCTTTGAATTATTTTTTTTGCCATCTGAAGCACTTTGTATAATCATTGTCAGCCATTTTAACCCTTTAACTCCCAAGATCTTATTAGTAATTCTCCTTACTGTCTGCCATATGGTTCTTTTGATGTTAGTTTGGAGAATTTGGCATTGGATCACTTTATAATCCCCCAACTGATATTTTTCTTTATTCTCATTGCTTGTCTGCTTGATATTGTATTGATATTGTAAAGAGTAATTCTGTCTTGGTCACTCATGGGAGTTAAAGGGTGAAGAAAAAGTGTTGGAGCTTTTAACTATGTTAAGTGAGTGAGGGTAACTCTTTAAGACTAGTAATAAATCAATTCAGGAAAATGGTGGTTAATATATTATAGTTTGTGTATAAGCTTTGATTAAAAGTTAGTCCACCAACGCCTCAGCAGAGTAAAATTAACTTTTTCAATTTATTAGCCTAAGGGTGTGACTTTCCTCTGTTCCACCCCTTGATCAAATGTCTTTTTCTCCCAGGCCAAATTACTTTGTCAGGCTCAATTGGCCAACCTGTAACAGGCCGTCATCAACAGGGAACGGAGGGGTAACCGCTTAATACTGCAAGTTGACCACTGCAAACAAGTTCTACATGAAAGGAGCCCTATAAAAAATAGGCAGTCTAAGACTGCACGTGGCTACTGATATGGCACAATTTATAGCATTGAAAACAAACTAGATGTAAATGATGCTAGAAGGTAGTGTTGCAAAAGATTTGTATACACATGCAAAACAGAAAACCTGCCACATCCCAAGTATTTATGTGTACCCTGGTCCACAGGAGAAAGATGATTTAAGAATATTGTGACTAATTGAAATTCTACCAATAATGAAATAGTAACAAATTATCAGTCATTATGGCAACAATAGAAATATAATAATAATTAAAAGGGGCTTGCTCGAAAAGAAAGTTTCCGCACAGTTTCCACGATGTGCGGATCACACCTATTTAGATATTTCTGCGATTAAAAGTTTTGATTTAGATTACGCATCGGTGGTGCTACTGTGAAATTATTTTGAGATGGTTATCGTCTCAGGAAGAACTGAAAAAATTACATCTTCGGATCTACGGGGAATAATTCGTTGATTCAAACAGTAAATTACTCACTCTTCAAAGGGAGATTATTTCCTCCAAGTCTTCAAACCTATCAAGATATTTGTGCAAAGTAGACTTTTGTGTTTAATTACGTTCCATCCTGAAATGATCGTGAGAGGTTTAACGTCCTCTGCTGTATTCTGTAGTATCAACAAAAAATAAAACAGAAAACATAATGTGCATCGAGTACGAATGTTTATCCAAAATTGGATTCTAGGGTCTAAAATCCAAAATCAGGCATTTTTTTCTTAATTAAGTTTATTCACAACATAACAGATTACTACAAGAACCACTAGAAGCGTACGAAATTAGACGGAAAAGCTTGATTTCGACATAGCAGTGACGTAGCTTCCCGAGACGAAACGGGAACGTTTGAAACCGGACGAAACCATCATTATATCAAAAAATAGGTTATAATGGATGGAAAATGTAATGCTGACGTAAGTTGATTAGTTAGTTGAACATGACAGATGATTTTTTGCGGTATGCGCACAAACAGACAAACCTTCGTGATGAAAATTGTAATGTTATAATTCACAATCAATTTAAAGTGACAAAGTAGTATGGGAAGGAGTCAACTTGCAAGTGTTTTGTTCCTGCTGAGTAAAATGCGACACTTGCATGAAGTTGAGTGTAGGAAAGTCGGCTGAATTCCTATGCACAGATTTATTCGAAAGTTATTCGTCAAGTCTGAATTGTGAAATTGTTACAACTATGACAGTGAAGCACCGGCAGTGGACAGGGTACTTAACACCATATACTTCGAAAAGTAGAACGATCAGCTTCGAAAAGAAAAATTCCACCTGTGGAATGGGAAGGGAGAATGTCCCAATTTCTTCAATCGCACTCATACGGGGTGAAGTATCTTTTCCTGGCAACATTACAGAAGGACCGAGATTTTTCACGCCAAAGTTGCTTTTCCATGGCCTGGTGTATTGAGACTGAAGTCTCCTCCTCTGGATTTCACGAACGTCTCATATCTGAAAGACAAAAACAAAATTAAAAAAACAATGATTTCAAAATGAATCCATCCTTTCTTTCATGACTCTCTTCCAAAATGGTAGATGAAGATGACCATAAGAGGGTTTACTAAGCCTTTGTCAACTTCACTCCATTAACGAAATCTCGTGTGTAACGTCACACACTAGCATTTGAAGTCAGTCATTAGTTTCTAAGGTGAGGCACTAGTGTCCAAAATCAAACACCAGTGTCTAAAAATCGGACACTAGTATCTAAATCAGACACAAGTATCCGAAATTGGACATTACCATCCAAAATCGGACACTAGTGTTGAAAATCTGACACCAGTGTCTAAAATCGGACACTAATGTTTAAGAGCGGACGGGATGGTGTTTGATTATAGACACTAGTATTCTAGTTATTATTTCTTATCACTGTTACCATGCGGCTATAAATTTACATGAAAGGTGCGTTTTTCTAAACCGCTGGAGCTCAAGCAAGACTCAACCTTTATAATGGACATACATGGCCTGGTATCTGCGTCTTTCACTGTCTGATACAGATGGACCAGCCGCTGATGCCGCTTGGAACAAATCTGATTGGTTGATTTGTATTCCAAACGTCACCTCATTCTCTGCTGAATTAGATTGTAATGCCTGAAAACACAAAAAACGGTGTTAGAATTTATATCAAAGAAAATTGAATTTTTTTTCATTGGTGCATTAAAAGCTATTAAACCTAACCCAGACTATGCCTAAACAAAAATGAAATAAAAGATAATATCAAGGAGGCAGTGAAGGAAAACAACTGCTGAAAGAAGCCAACCGAAATATGGTTCAATAAATAACTTAAAAAAAAAAACAAGTCAGTGAATACACAGCAATAAGCACGTAGGTTCAGAATGCACGCACCATCAATAAGAAAAAAAGAAGATGGAGTGATTTTATTCCCTTTGAAGTTTCATGGGTCCACTCTGTGTTACTTTCTGATGAAGTTTCTTTTGACAATTTTTTTATGTCGCAAGGGAATATGACATGGCAGTTTTAGTGACAAAATTATCACCGCTGAACATGCTGGCTCACAAGAGAAATAAGTGGCCTTGCATATGCGAATAATAGATGAAATCTTCCCATCAATTAAATCTTTACCTTCCTTTTGCTCTTTCTGTGTTGTAAATTCTTGTGAAGAGTTGTAACCTGATAAGTTAAAAAAAACTTCGTGGGTAGATTGACAGACAGGGAAGGGGTTTTCACAAGTTTATACAGGGTTTTGTCACAGGTAGTGCATCGAGACAAAACAATCAGCCTTAATTCTCCCAACATTGCCCATGCAATCCAAGGGAATCTCCTACATCCCTCATCATCATCAAACTTTTCTGGTTTCTGATTACCTCTGCGGTAACCATAGATTAATTCTGAACTATGTTAACGCAGTCTATTATTTGAAAATCAAAACGAAACCATGCTTTTTAAAATGATTTCTCATCATCATTTTTCAATTTTCCAAATTTCCTCGGAAAAGAAAGAGTAATGTCTTTCGGAAAAAAAGAAACTAAAAGCATAAATTTCGTACAAACTGTTTTGCTTCATGAATTCAAAGGGAATACTGCCTGAAAACCCGTAAGCTGGAGTTTGAAGTAAGAGAAGGGAAGGTTTCACACTCATGGGTTCTTAAAACATTTAAGGGTAAGCCAAGTTGTTTTGACCAAGGGGCGGATCAAATCTACCTTAGGACCCTCCTTGGTCATGCATTTCTGCAACATGGAGTACAGAAGTAACAGAACCCTACCTCTGAATGAAGTTTTGTCAGCTCTTCCGTTGATAGCTGTATAGATCCTTCAGTTAAGCTTGAAACATAAATAACACTATCCCTGTCCTCTTCAGTAACAACGTCAGTTTCCGCACATCTGTCGTATTTCTTAGTGCTTTCCATTTCAGTATTTTTGAACATTGCCTTGTAAAGCTGACTGTTGTTGGCGTTCCTGTGGATTGCTGCCAGCTGTGCGTTATACAGAAGAGCTTTGAAATCAGCTCCAGTGAAGTGTTCACACATGTCTGAAATAACGGCTAGATTGATGTCCTCTGACAGGGTCACGGATCTGGATAAGGCCTCTAGGATCTGTAATCTCTCTGACTGTAGGAGAAAAAAGGCACAAACTTTTTCTTAGTTCGGACAAGAATGATCAGGCTGAGAGAATGGATATCCAAAACTCGGCTTACTCCTGAGGAAATTTGTCTTGAGCTAATTTAAGATCACCACCACACTTGGAGATCTCAAGAGGATACAGAAATAGCCAATCGGGTGGTGTAAATTTGGCTCACGTGGACAGCACATGCTGCATCTGTTCATTCCCCATCAAAAGATTCAAGCAACAAGCGAGGTACAGGTAACATTTGCTGCAAGACGCCAGATGCCATTTTTTAGGGGAAACCACTAGGGCGTGGCTTAATTAAAGCATCTTTCAATTTAGTCTCGTAAAATCAAAACCAAAGCATTCACAACAGCCGAACAGAACGTAAGAAAAGATAACAGGGAGACAAAGAGAGCTCAGAATAAAAACAAACGAATTGCATGATGCTTGGAAACTTCTGATTGATTCCTTTTGACTCTTTGTTTTGATGAACTCGTGTTAAATATGGTTTCACGACCCATAATTAAAAAAAAAAAAGCGCCCCCACCTTGGTTGGTATGCCGCAAAACAAACACTTATCCAATCGTCCTGGCCTGAGAAGAGCGGGATCAATCAAGTCTGGTCGGCTGGTGGCAGCAAGAATATAAACACCGTCCAGTCCCTCCACTCCATCCAGCTGAGTAAGTAGCTGATTAACCACTCTATCCGTCACACCTGTGCTGTCATGTCCACGGCGAGGTGCAAGGGAGTCAAACTCGTCAAAGAAAAGGATACATGGCTTGGCACTTTGAGCTCTGTAAATGGCAAATAGGTTGTAATCGTGGGAGCCTTGTCATGTCTTGTTTCGTTTTTTGTGCAATTTTACTGCTTTTTTAGCCATGAGCTACAAAAACCAGGATAGGTCATGGCGGCGTGGGTCATGGTGTGGCCTTCACCTTACCCTGAATGCTGAATCCTTAGGTGGGGGAAGTGTGTCACGGTACAGTGGCAAATTAGTGTGCACGCTCAGTGCGCTTGAGCAATATTTCCACAGAAAAACAACGCGGATGGTGGCGACAGTTTTAAAAATTCCAAATATAATTTCACTTTGCCAGGCAAAGGCTACATGACCACAACTAAGGTCCTTGCCGATAAAGACGTTTCTTCAATTCTGTTCCATTATGTATCTTTTCTTGAACTGAGAATACATCAGTGTAGCTGACATCGAGTGGAACATTTTGGGATTCAAGTCCAGTGTATGCAGATGGACTCGAAGTTGCTTTGGTCACGCAACGGAATGTCTCATTGTGGGGAGGGGGGGTGGAGAAGAGGCTGTTTTGTGACGTGACCAAATAAAGGCTGCGATGAAGACCAACATAAACTATGAACTAATCGAATGACTGAATGATTCTTGTCATTGCCTCCTCTAGTAAAAAGGGCCTAGGGAAAAATATGACGAAAAACAACCATGAAAGCTCCATTTTTCATGTTAAGTCAACATACAATACTAATTACCTCGTGAACATATCTCTGACCGCCTGTTCACTGGCTCCAATATACTTGCTCAGTAGCTCGGGACCTTTGATGCTGATGAAGTTGAGCCCACACTCCTTAGCAACCACACCAGCCAGCAGTGTTTTGCCAGTGCCTGGCGGTCCATAGAGAAGAAGACCAGAACGCAAGCGCAAGGGACATTTATTAAAAAGCCACGAGTACTAGAATGGAAATGAAAATATAGTTGTCTTTCAAGCATCAAACAGATTCTCTTACTCCCACATTTACTAACTTTTGATCATGTGTTTATTTTACTGTTAGACATGGAAAGTTTACCACACTAAAGAAAAGTATTCCGTTGTTTATGCCCTTTAAAACCTACTCGTACGTCCAGATCACACCAGATAACGTTAATAACCGACTAAAGTTAACCATCCACACTGAAAAACGGATACATTGTTCCACTTCTACACTACAACCATCGACAGAAAGCGTAAAGCTCTGCATCCTTAGGCATGCGCAAAAGGGCCTCAATGACGCACCGTTAAATGAATAGAGAAGTCACATTGACGTTTTCAAAAATCTCCTTTTTCAGTAAACAATTTCTTTAAATTAGCGTGAAGTAAAGGCTAAAACGAAGAAAGAAAGCTGAGTCTGCACATCTCTCAGGCAAATTGTGGCTAAGGCCCTTTTTCTCCTTAACAATAGGTATTTCTTAACTGTAAGATGCCTAAGAGGACAGGGATTTACTTTTGTTGGCCACAGAAGAGTCTCCATGAGTGCTGCTTTCACTCCAGCAAGTCCTCCCACATCAGACCAGCCTAACTCTCCCGCAGTATGTAAACTAACACCCCTCAGTGCTGCAGGGGTAAATCCCTCAAAAGCCTTCTCAAAATCTTCTGGAGTAATTGCACAGCAAATGCCTCCATCTGCTGAAAAAAAAAGTAAAACAGGAGAGTGAACGATGATGAAGCCTTGATGACTACAGTTGACACCCACCAAGTACACAGGCACCTTTACCTTTTAATTTTATGTTAAAAACTCACCTGCCGATGTTGTCATCTTCCTGACTGCTGCTTTGTGTAAGGCACGGTCAAGTAATGATTGTAGATCTCTGGGTGAGAATCCTTCAGTTTTCTTTGCCAACAGACTAAAGCAAAGTAAAGAAATCATATTTAAATAGAGGCAGGAATGAGAGGAATGGTAATTTTTGCGTTTAATTCAGTGATTAAAGATGTTGACACTGATGGCATGAAATCATTTCTTGATGAAAAAGATGGGAAGTGATTACCTTGTGAGATCAAAAGGAAAACCGGTATACACAGAAATTTGAGTTTGCGAAATGTTTCTACATATTTTCCCATAATTATGGTCTCACTCTATGCCGAATTAAAGCGCGAAAAAAAATCTTCGATATCGATGTGGAACAATCTGTATTGCTACACTGTAATGCACAGTTCAGAGTGCAGAGGTCATTTCTATACCCAAGGCATGCACACATCTACAAATAGTACTTGCTAAGAAATGCTTTGCAAGTTTCTTCAGAAGGGTCCTCAAGAGTAGGCAGTTGACTCTTTTCTTAACTGGCTTGGCTTTTCACAGTAGGAAACTAAGTTTCAATCTTGACCTGAGTTCCAATTTGTCACAATCTCGGTGACGAAACAGTTTGGCCATCATCGCAGACAAAATCTGTTGTCTTTGGTCTGCATCAGGGGGATGAAGCTCTGCACGGCATTGAAACACGTGACATCCTCGTGACGTTAGCAACGACGGGTGTAAAGAGTCATGTGACTTACTAGTTGCTATGACAACTATCCTGCTGTTGTTATTGATTTCTGTGCTAATAAGGTCCTTAAATACTGCAGAATGGAAAAAAATAAGTAGGTATTGTAAGATGAGAGCACAACACATGGTTTGAATGTCAAAATACTGTACATAAATACATCACAGACATGGGAACCTAGGAGTCAAACGTGGCAGGTTCCATCAGCCACGCCTTGCTAACAGGTCAACAAGGCACACTTTCCTTAGAGAGTGACTGGCTAACATCATCCAGGACATAGGTCAATAAAATAAAACCTTTCTGGGGCTGTCTTCAATTGAGTATCAAAAGTTGTTGTGGATTGCATTTATTTTGCTCTTCCTCCCTATTCTGACTGTGACTGGCCTAACAGACTTGCCCCATCTCCTACAGCAATTGGATGCAAAACTTTAAAAGAATACACATGGATCAGTCATATTTTCTTTCCCTCAAAGCAGTTTTCCAGTCTTCATTTCAAGTTCTCATTGGCTCTTTGTGGTCTTTTTTTTAATTGCTGTTGTTTCACACTTTGCTATTACCTTTGTATGACACTCAACTGAAATATGTTCTGCTGCACCAGTAGATAACATTATACACTTTTTAAAGGCTGGTGCTCTGTATAGAATATTGGCCTTTTACTGAAAATCATGCTTACCACCATCTCACCTTGAGCTAAGCGGCGTTTGTACAAAGCTTCTCCACCCATCTCTTGGAGGGCACTTGGGGCTGAAACAACTTGATCTAAATCATCAAACAGGATCACAGATGGCTGATGCCATGCTGCCTCCAAAAATATCTGCTGCCACTGTTTCTGAATGGTGTCAACTCTTTTTCCTTCAAAGAGAATAATAACAGAAAAAACCATTTATTTATGATGTTTACTGCAATATAAAAATCCAGAGGTTTCAATCAAAGCTAGTCACCATTGGTTTATTGTCGCCAATAAGACCATACCGCACAGCAGCCCCCTATTGCTCCCTCAGAAACCACTAATGGAAAAAGTCCATGAAACCCCTGACTTTGTTTGCAAATGTACCCACCGCGTCACAGTACCACACAATTATCATAATCATGGACACAAAAAAGCTAATTCAACAAAGTAACAAAATAAAGGAAAAAAATACCTCTGAAAGGAATACAATCCACTAATGTCACATGTGCACACACTGGCCACTCCTGAAGTTGGTAGCACACTGCATGAGCAAGAGATGTCTTGCCACAGCCAATCCCTGCTCCTGTACCACTGCCACAAATGAGCACAGCTCCACCACACAGTCCTGAGATGATGTTACCTCCCAGTTGATTGGATAGAGGTCGCTGCCCTAGCGTTGACAAAGCATGATCCAAGCACTTGTGGAATACATCTGTTACACCCCTTAAACAACAATGATTGCCTAACATGAGCTTTAGCTCAAGACTATTATAACCTGCAAAACTAGGAAATTTTCCATCCTTTCTTAAATGAGATAGAAAGACTGCACAAGGAAGAATATTTACATATTAAAATTTCTTTGTATGTGCACCTTCTAACCATGAAATTCCAAGGGTTAACCCTTTGATCCTTAGGAGAGACTAAAATCTAATTTCTCCTTACAATATCACCCCTGAATCGCACATTAAAGTCACAAGAATAAAGAAAATTATCTCCAACTAGAGAAGCTCTTGATTGGTAAACAAATTCTCCCTGTCAGCACCTTAGGAAATGTATAGAGAACAGTATGGAGAATATGCAAACTGATGGTATGGTTTAAGGGGCTCGTCATTCCTAAAGCCATATACCATTCTCATCAACATCATTTTCAATCATTTCTTACCCCAAGTCATTAATGCTATACTTTGGAAATTGTGGCTTGATTTCTTGAGCACTGATAAACTCGCAGAAACCCTTCAAAGAGTTTTGGGGTGTTCCTATGACAACTGTCACATTGTTCAGAGTCTCAGGAGTAAGGTAATAATATTGTGGTTCCCCTCCTGACTTCATCATCTCTTGATGGCTCAGCACTTTAACTACAAACTGAAAAAGTTGGCCTAAAAAAGAAAAACAAACAAAATATTCATTGTTTAGATCTTTAGACCTCATTACTTAATTAACATATAAAATAAATATTTGGTCTGTTATTGTTCTCTTTAATTTATAGTAACATTCAATTTACATTCAACTCAGTGATAAAACCAAATTATCTTGTTATACCCCTACTGACATGGTATCACAGTTTTGTTAGAAACTTATCCCCTTTGCTCACAGATATCCATTCAAAATGATATCTGCTAACCTTGAGCATCAAATGATAACAGTGTTCCACTACAGAGTACAAGAGGCACTTCCACACTGCACACCATACTGATCCAGCCTTGAAAGGCATCCATGACAGTATCAGCTGAAATATCCTGAAGCTTGATAAAAAAAAAAGACAAACAACCAAACAAACAAACAAACAAACATCAATGTATGTAAACTGATATTTATATTTTTTTCCAGCAGGACGTGGTAAAGAATCCTGCAATCTGATTGGTTCTTAGTGTAGTCCCTGCCTATGGTCATGGTAACATTTTGGCGAGTTTTTGTTTCTGTTTTTCTCTGTCCTCTGGAAAACAAAAACTTCTGAAATATTCTTTAAGATAAAATTACCTTCTGTTCAGTTTCTGATAAGGTAATTATTTTGTCCAGTAGAGCATGGTAAAGAATCCTGCAATCTGATTGGTTCTAAGTGCAGTCTATCTACCTCTATACATAGTCATGATGAATTTTTCATGCCTCCTGAGCCTTCAATGTCTTTCTTCTGAAATATCTTTTTATGATAAAAATTACCTTCTGTTCAGTTTCTGCAAAGGGATGCAAAACCATTCCTTGTATGTCTGATGGTCCAGATGAGACATTCTGAATTTTAACTAAACACAGATCTCTTGCTCCAAGCATTTTGCAAAGTTCTTTGGTCAGGATCGCATGCCCTGACAGCACATGCTCTTCCACACCCAATTCATGGGAATTTGGATCGACAGAAGCCCTGTTTAAACTGCTTGTCATCACCATTCTCACAACCCAATGAGGTGGTAGCATGTCAAGAGAAGTGGAATCAGGAGGGGACTGGCCAGTCACTGTCACACAATAAAACACACAATTTAGCAAATCTCAGTCCTCTAGCTTCCATCATCAAAATTTTTGTCTAACTGCTATTTATTCTTTGGTGAAATACATGAAATCAAGAAACTTTGGTGATAACAATCTTGGGCTGACATATGTTTCTTTGTTATCCAACAATGCTTTGTGTAATAAAACATTTATTTTTATTAATTTGAGGAGTGATTTTTCCTCAGTGTACTCACCTCTAGGAATTTAAAACAAATAGAAATTGGGCAGCATCCCACAATTAGTTGATATCAAAAAGAAGGGTTGTTTGTTTGTAACAAGGTCTGAACAGCCACCTATAATGGAGTTTTTGTGGAATATCAGCTGCAACTCAACTCTTGAAATCAGTAGGTTAAATTAAAAGGTTCACCTTGATTAGATTCACTGTCCGTTGAAGTCTCCTGGGATTGAGGTCCTTGGTTTTCATTGTTGTTTGATGGTGATCTATTTTTTTGCAAGACAGTTCTCTCTTTGGGAGATAAAAGTTTGCATATTTGAACAGTTTTTTCCACTGTGCCATCTGGTGGTGGAAATGTTTCCCAGTTACAAGTCCATGACTTCAAAAGTAGTGGCGGCAAAGATGTAATATCAACAAAGACAGTTGTGGGTTGTTGAGAATAAAAATTCATGGATTCTACAGTGCTGCCTTTATTTGAGACCTCAGGGTCACCTTTGATATTTGGCTGAACTCTCAAGTACATCTCAAAGTCAGAATCATCACCACTATCAGTACCACATTTTTCACCTTTCTCTGTGATTGAAGATAAGGGTTTCCAGTTCTCTTCATTTTTAATTTCTTCTGGGTTCAAGGGTTTGCAAGTCTGATTTTCATTTACAGGGTTCTCCTCATCACAAGGGTCGAAAAAAGACTGCAAATAACATGAGACTCTTGATAAAAAGCCACTGTTGGCAATGCCATTTTGCTCCTCTGCATTTGTGGTTCTAGAAGGTGAAGGCCATGATGACAGCTCATCACCATCATCAAAACAAGAAACATTACTTGTTGAAGCATACTTATTTTCAGCACTTGCGCCAGTATGCATTTTTTTCCCTCGTTCTGTGTTTTCTTTGCCAAAATGAACTGGAGCTTGCTGAGGTTGTTTTCCTTTAGAAAATGTTCTTGTTTTAGGTGATACAATCACTTCAGTAAACTCATCAAGTCTGACACAATTGGCATCTGGCTCAAGGTTAACTGTCAATGGGAAATAAACAAGAATAATAGCTCATTAAGGAAAGCTGAAGGTGTTAAAACAGTTACAAAGCTCCTGCAATTACTTTCTCTTCAATCAGCTCCTCTAGCATGATATTTTATATATATTCAAACATCAACTCAAAGATGGTAACAGTCAATCTCTCCGGCCATACAGAACAAAGAAAAATATCACATGAAGCCATTGTCAGCTCAGAATAAAAACACACAAACTGCCTGAACTGTAGGATTATGTATATTACATAAAAAAGTCATGACTAGTCATGGGTTTGTGTCTAATTGGTTGAGAGCATAGCACAAGTATTCTGGACCAATCACTATGCAAAGTAAAGAAAAACTAAAAGGACTCCTTGACCGCTCCATACTCTCAACTGATATTTCCTTTACTTCAAATTGTTGTGGTGGTTTCATCAACATGTGGTGGTTTTATCAACATCCAACCATTTCTAATCATAAGGTAACAGTTTAGTAACAACCCACTACAGATTAAGGCTCCCTATGAAAGATGTGATGAGAAAAGGCAACCAAACCCAAATGTAGGGAGGTTTCATGCTTTTTATTGTCACTAAAGCATACCAATTTGGACAACCACACACATATTGTTTTCAATCCATATTGGCAATATCTGTCCTGGGAACACCACCCTCACTTGGTTCAGAAGCTGACTTTCTATGTAACCAGCATGGAGTTCCTAACAAAGAAATTTAAAGCAACCATCCATTAGATGTTACTGTAACACTAAGTGCAAGAAATGTGTTTTTACCTCAGCTTGTTTCACAGCTTTCTCTCTGAACATATTACTTGCTACAGAGATTCATCTCTACTTTAGTTAACATGTATGTATTATGCATCAATCATTTTGAAGCTTCAGTATCCTCCCCCAGGCAATCCCCTACGTGTTTGAACTTTTGAAGATTTGGTCATTCAAATTCTTTCACCCCAGGAAATTGGGTTCAAATGGCCCACCCAATATTTTCATGAAAGGCAAAATCAGCAAGTGTGACTTTCTATATACTGTATTGACCAAGCTTTAAAACCTGGACCTTGTGGACATTTTCTTCTATGCCATAAGCTGTTGAATTTTATGGAGAACTTTCTAAAAAGTTAGAAGAGTGTTACTAAGGTAAAATTGTTATATTGCAAACCAACTAACCCTTAAGCTCAGGAAAACAAAGAAGCCAAGAGCTCATAATATAGCCTTAAAGTAAGGGTAAGTAACAGTCATGCAACTATCTTAAATTCATCAAATTAAATTTCAACAAGATTCTTATCTAGTTGTAGCTAAAAATTCAAGGTTTTTAATTTTAGGCTGCAGCGAGTGGAAATGGTCATCTGGTACCTGAAGAGAATTCTAGGCACAAGTGAGTCATTACATCCTAAGGCCAGCATGAAATAAGCATGTACAATACTCAGATCTCAGTAGTGGGAGTGTTTATCACCCTTAAGCATTGTAACATATTCACTCACTAATATTTCCCAATCATTGGCACTGACTGGATCCACGTTTATTCTGTTACATGATGGGATACCAACCACAGGTTCAACTAAAACCTAAAACACAAAATGGAAAATATTACACATCCATTATAAAAGCCTCACAGCATTCAAGAGACTTGGACTAAACTAGGATGTTAAAATCTGATTAAGTAAACCAAATGGTAAATATTGGCCACTGACAGTTTTACAACTTTAGTTTTCTCTTCAGTTTTGGCTTTGATTCCATAACACCTCACAAAATGTTGGGTTAAACGTACCCTTTTGTATACACTTTTGTCCACCTTGAAAAACTTAAACTTAAACTTTTAACCCTTTTACTCTTAACCCTTTCACTCCCACAAGTGACCAAGACAGAATTTCTCCTTACAATATCAATACAATATCTAGCAGGTAGGTGATGAGACTAGAGAAGAATATCAATTATGGGATTATTAATTGATCCAATACCAAATTCACTGAACTAACATTATAAGAATTGTATGTCAGATAGTAAGGAGAATTACTAATTAGATCTTGGGAGTGAAAGGGTTAAAAGAGACAAGCATTTGATTTCTCCATACACCTTACAAATATCACCACTGAATCAAACATTAAGGCCACATGAATAAAGGAAATGATCACCAACTAGAGGGGGGTAAGATTATTTCCTGTACAACATAATACTGGGTATGGCTACAATTATCAAGTTGAACAAAATGCTCCATTCTTACCTGCTGATTATCATCTAGTCCTAGTCCATCTGCAAATTTCTTTCCAAGTTGGACAATTGATGATGAATCATTCAGGATAACACCTCTCTTGCCACGTGTCACTTCACCAGACCAGCTGGCGAAAGCCTTGCCATTTTCCCACTGAAGTTGAAGAGCAAATGGTTGGCCCTGGTATAGTTTTTAAGAAGTAAAGTGCATGAGTTAATCATTGCTGGGTATAGAATATATAAAAAAAAAGTTTCAGATCAGTTACTTTAAAATTTCTATTGTTCCGGACATAAAGCATAATTCATAAAAAAAGAAGGTAAAAGTTAAACTTGGTTGAAAACAATTCAGGTTTCATTGTATGTCTAGAAAAAAAAGAGGCTTTTTCTAGACTTTCTCAAACTATGACTTTTGTTTCAAGGATTATGAATAAGATCTCATGGCGCGGGTGAACAGGTTCGCGGGTGAACTACACCCCTGTTTTCACCCCCAAATGTACAGGGAACTTTGAAAATTGTTATGAGCTCAATGCAAAGACTAGTTCAAAAGCTCCATGATCCTATGATAACAACTTACTATGCATGTGTCCGTTCGTCACCTACCTGGATTCGCAAGCCTATTGCCTCTGCAAGGTCACCAGAGAGACTGACAAAGCAGTTTTTCGACGAATTCGTTCTTACACAAGCAGATCTAATTCGATTCATTTCCACCGCAAACCTCTGGAACTTCACCTTTGAAGTATTTGGTCTTTTATATTTCTATATTCCCAAAGAGAACAGCTGAATGAGCCGCCATATTCAGCAGAATATTTAATATTGCGGGCTCACCCGAAAAACCACGAGGAAGGGAGGGAATGTAACGGGCTGGGGAAAAAGGAATAGGCCGAGCTCAGTTATTAAACCTTTACACCCTGGCATACTCCCTGACATTAGTATGCGTATTCTCCATACTGTTCTTTGTACATTTCCAAAGAGGCTGACAAGGAAAATTTGTTTCACAATCAAGAGCTGCTTTGGTTGGTGATCATCTCCTCTGTTCTCATGACTTTCATGTTTGATTCATGGGTGATATTGTAAGGAGAAATTAGTTGCTCACCACTCTTAGGGGCTTAAGGGTTAAGGGAATTATCTTCAAATCAATGAGGACTTAAGAGGAAAAAGTGAAGTAAAAATGTTGACACATAAGGTAAACAAATCTAAGGCTGTAGTCTGGAAGAGCTTTGTTCCAACAAGATATTGCCAGATATTACAATTTTGCAGACTGTGTGAGGGGATATGCCCCTTTTGCCAACAGGAAATTTTAAATTTGAGGTAATGAGGAGGTATAGACTAATAAAATACCTCCCTCTGCATGTAAATAAGAGAGAAATACTCAAAGAGATGTATTTTTACAAGTTTATTTCAGGTTTTTTCAGGTCAAATCCAGTAAATCCAGTTTATGCGTTTTCACCCTCCTCTTCCTCTTCCTCATCAAATTCTCCTTCTTCTTCAGCTGTGGCATCCTGATATTGTTGGTACTCAGACACAAGATCATTCATGTTTGATTCAGCCTGTAAAAATGAACACTTAACAAATAAGTATTCTAAATAAATTACATGCTATTGTTATATACCTCGATTTTCGCTCAACAAAACCAGCACTGTGATTGGTTGATTCTTGGTCACATGCCCCTGATCAAATTCAAATGTATCCCGACCAAGATACAATTGCACAGATGTTGCCCAAACGCCAAATACAACGGTGGTGACTCTCAGGAAAACAAAACTGATTCCCTTGGGATCATAATTACCTAATAGATATATTATACCACAGAGACAGAAAATTACATCAAGATAAGAAATACTCACTAGCAGGGGGAAATATCTGAAACAGGTGTGGGGGGGGCAGATAAAGATTATTTCCACAAGCTCTAAAATCTTACCTCAGTAAACTCCATCTCATCCATGCCCTCACCAGTGTACCAATGCAAGAAGGCCTTGCGCCTGAACATAGCCGTGAACTGCTCACTAATGCGCTTGAATAGTTCCTGAATGGCAGTGCTGTTTCCAATAAAGGTGGCAGACATCTTCAGTCCTCGAGGTGGAATATCACATACAGCAGTCTTGACATTGTTGGGAATCCATTCCACAAAGTATGAGCTGTTCTTGTTCTGCACATTCAACATCTGCTCATCAACCTCCTTCATGGACATGCGACCACGGAACATTGCAGCCACAGTTAGGTATCTACCATGACGGGGATCACAGGCTGCCATCATGTTCTTGGCATCAAACATCTGCTGTGTCAGCTCTGGAACTGTCAATGCTCGGTACTGCTGGGAGCCTCGGCTGGTCAGAGGAGCGAAACCTGGCATGAAGAAGTGAAGACGGGGGAAGGGAACCATATTGACTGCTAGTTTTCGCAAATCAGCATTCAGCTGGAAGGAAATTACTTCAGTGGTTAAACAGTTATCCTTTACCTGTTGTTTATGAACAGTACATACACCAAATATCTATCTCTATAAGGTAATAATAAAGGTGTACATATCTTTGCTCATTATTTTACAAGGAATGGACATTAAGTAACTCAGTTCTGCTTCAACAAAGTGGCTGCAGATGTGTAATTTAAAAAGTGTTAAAGGACTTTTAGCCCCAACGCTAATATCATGGATCATATTTATTCAAGAATCTGAAGACAAGAAGTATAATGTAAGGCAGGTTTCACACAAGAGCAGTCTCACATGTATAGGAAAGGGCTGGCAATCACAGTTGAAAAACATTTCAGGTTTCTTATTTTCCCATCGAAACTGTCTGGAGAACTATAATTACTCAAATTACATCATTGCAAACTTTTGTTTATGGGCGTGACCGTAGCAAATTTATTCTTGTCCGAAATCAAAATTAACTGGTAGCTTATCTGAGGATAACAATTCTATATTTTTTTCATGATACTAAAACGAGTATATTTACCTGGCCGGGAAATCGAAGACATGTGGTCACACCACTCATTGTGGCTGACACAAGGTGGTTTAGGTCGCCATACGTCGGGGTGGTTAATTTCAGAGTTCTGAAGCAGATGTCATAGAGGGCTTCATTGTCGATGCAGTACGTTTCATCGGTGTTCTCAACAAGCTGATGAACCGAGAGAGTTGCGTTGTAGGGTTCCACGACGGTATCCGACACTTTAGGGGAAGGTACAACACTAAACGTGTTCATGATACGATCGGGATATTCCTCTCGGATCTTTGAGATGAGCAGCGTGCCCATCCCTGAGCCTGTACCACCGCCGAGGGAGTGAGTGAGTTGAAAGCCTTGCAAACAGTCGCAGCTTTCTGCTTCCTTTCGGACAACATCTAGAACGGAATCTACTAATTCGGCACCTTCAGTGTAATGTCCTTTCGCCCAATTGTTTCCAGCCCCGCTTTGTCCTGCATTAAATAACATTAAGAGTGCCTCATCTTAAGAGGGGAAATTTTAGCTCTTACGCTTATTAAATTATGAATTAAAAATGTATTTGCTTACATTTGAATCTGTTGGACCTACCAAAAACAAAGTTGTCAGGTCTAAAAATTTGTCCGAAAGGTCCGGAGCGTACTGAATCCATTGTTCCGGGCTCCAAATCGACCAGCACAGCTCGAGGTACATATTTCCCTCCTGAAAACGAAACACGACAAAGCGTCGAAAAACAGCACTAAACTTTCGGCACGACACTTGCAAATACATCGTCGTCAAATTAATTTCTTCAGTTTGTTACCTGTTGCTTCGTTGTAGTAAACGTTGATTCTTTCCAACTGGAGGTCTGAATCACCATGATATGTGCCAGTTGGGTCGATTCCGTGTTCATCTGAAATAACTTCCCAAAACTGAAAAAGAAACAGTGCAATCATGAAATCAACAGCTGGGCAGCTACGTGACCGACTCTCGCGAAAAAAATTACCCTATAGCATTGTTATAAAACAACCTACCTTGGCCCCGATTTGGTTTCCGCACTGACCCGCCTGTAGATGAACGATTTCACGCATTTTGAAAGCTTTCACTTGTTAAACTCCTACGAGGAAATTAGCCACAACCCGACTGATGAAAAAATTAATCAAACCTAAGATCTCTCATCGACAACTGTTAACGTCACACACTCGCACACGTGACAAATTACGGTATCTGATTGGTCGATTGAAATTCGCAAGTCAACAGGTTCTTAGTAAACAATTAGCAGCCACTTATCTTAAAACATGGCGGGTAAATTGTGTCAAAATTATTTGTACCAAATTGAATGGCTCACTATTGAACAGCTCACTTGATTGCTGCGTGTGCGTGTGTGTGTGTGAGAAATTTTCCTTTAGCTTCAGTAACCTTAGCAATGTTATCATAAATTTACAGCGAGCTAGGAAAAGTATCTTGGCAGCTATCTTAACAATATTAACAATCTTTAGGAAATGAAAAACTGAAAAATATAAAAAAAAAAAAAAAGTGAGCCATTCAATAGTAAGCCATTCAGTTTGGCGAGCCTTTCAATTTTTTGAGCTATTTAATTTGGAGGGCCATTCGATTTGGTGAGCCATTCAATTTTTTGAGCTGTTCAATTTGGAGGGCCATTTAATCTTGAGCCATTCAATTTGGTACTACCAATTTTGACACGATCCAGCCGCCATTTAGCAGCCTCTTAGAATTAATCAGATAATCACAGGGGGTTGAGAGAAACTCCTCAAGTCACGAAATTCACATTGGACAGCAGCACCGAGTCTAAATATCTCACGACACTTCTGCTCCAACGGATGACGTAATAATCACTTGTTTCGGTCTGGCGAGTAGCAACCAAAACACGCATCAAAAAGGAGTTAATACCTGTAACAGAATTGTCACGCCGCTTCATCATCCACATATAAACATCGTTTAGCGAAACTTATCTAGCACAAACTTGAGGAACTCGATTTGAAGCGAATCAAATTTTTACTAAAATTATAACTACTGTATCACCCTAAAAACCAACACTCCGCGCAATCGGACAAAAGAAATTTTCGTACATTTTTAACTCATTACTCGCTACTTATGTCATACTTTTGCTACCTTGCTCCAGGCAATCAATTGGTCGAAGAGGGGAAAAGCTGGACGAACGAGGAAGAATACGCAGGAAGGGAGAGGCCCGACTCTCTCCCTTCCTCCTCCCCAGATTCCCCCGCCAATTTTCGCTCGCTCGATTTTTCTCTCGTTCTCGATGACCGAAAATACGCTGTAATTTTTTCTCCATGGTTTTTGTGGTAAACAGACATGGGGGAGTAAAAGGAGGATAGCTTCTGCCCAACTACAACTGTGTCATCTCGCAAAAAAGCGAAAAAGCGGCTTAAGCGAAATGTCATCGCAATCACGAAGTTTGGTTAGAAAATGAAAAATGTTTAGATTGTATATGAAATTGCAAAAGCTGCAAACTGGAGTGATTAACAGAAAATATGTTTTTTCCATTTCAATAAAAAGTGTTCGCTGTATTCATTAGAAGGAACTCGCTACCAAAAAAACTTTCTGGGGTAGAATTTCCCCTTAGCAGTTTCCTAAGCGAGTGCCGTAAGTTCTTCCTTCATTACCAAGAAGCAAATTTGTCGTGACATTAGAACTCGTGTCCAAGAATTAATTATGAAATGAGACAAGTATGCTGCAAATATATATTTACTAACGTCGAGATTTAGTAGGCATAGGAAAAATTTCGAAGGTAATGGTTAAAAGTACATATGTACACAATGAGAACAGTCCAGAAGTTGCCACCATTACTCGCTTCCCGCAATGCGATTGGTCAAATTTGTTTAAGTGGCCCTGGTAACAGTAATGGCCCCTAAAACATGCACATCTTCTTCATCTTTAGTTCTTGAAGTTTCAGTGAATGACAGTCAGTCGGAATACACCGAGACTTTCCGCACTTTGCTGTACTTCAACAAAAAGGTACCAGCAAACTCTTGCTTTGCCGAGTGAGTCAGCAATGAAGCAATGTCCAGGTGAATGAATGCACGATGAATATCAAGTTTACTTGACGCTGGTGTAACGCACGTTCTGACTGACTACAGGAAGCTAGTCAAGGCTGGGAATGGATTCTGTTTGCTGACCACCAATTTCTGGTGTTGGTGAGATATGTAGCCTTTGATATAACCCTGAAGAACAAATGAGCGAACGAACCACATGAACACGAGTAAACAGATGGGAATGGACTAATATCACACCTAGATCCTACCATGTAACTGCTGGGCCGTGAGAGGTCTGGATAAGAAACTGGGAATGGACTATTGAAATCTGTTTTTCTGTTACTACGAACGGTCTTTCGAGCGTAAAGGGAGCCCAAACGCAGTGCACACGTTTGAATGGGAAGGTAGTATCGTATTCTTGTCCCAATCTACTTCCCCATAAAGTTCCATCGATATCGCGTAGACAAAAACACACAACAAGCAGGGTGACTGTGGTAATACGTAAAAACATATAGCGAAAATCCTCTACTTACTTGGCAAAACAATATCAGACATTAATAGCAGGTAAAAGGTAACATCTACATAAGAGAACGGCAGTTTCTATGTTTCTAATCTCTGTCTCTGTAGCATGAAGTAACTAGGAGTACAAGTATATCGTATCGCTACCCAAAAATTTGGTCAGGTCTTCTAGAAAATTTGCCTCTTTGGTGAGAAACACCGTGTTTCTCCAAAGAACATCATACAATGACCCTGGTTGAAGTTCGACCCAGATCCTTTGATACCAAGATCATCGCGCTGACTACCAGGCCATCGCAGTTTCCTTAGACACAATACTGGCATTGTGTGCGGGCCTTTTTTTTTTAAATTTCTATTAAGAAAATGGCGCGAGAGACAAAGTACTGCTACTGACGAATAAAGTAGACATCAGCAGTGTAGAAGTCTTATTTCACGCGCGCAGACCGTTTTTTCATCATTCAACTGACTTACCATGTATATCAGGTTTGCTACGATGCATTCAACCTCGGTAACGTCTATGTCTTCAACCTTAATACAGAAAAAAGAAAAAAAAGGAACTTAATTAGAAGCGAGTGAAAAGGGAGAAAGACAGGGAGGCCATATGAGGACAGGACAGGCACTGAGGCTAGCGTTGAGCAATGATAGGGGCCACTGGACCTATGAATAACTCTCTAATGCGCGAGGCGACACGCCGAGTAAGCCGGAAACAAAACACCAGGCCTGTTGAAGGGCCAGTGGCATTACTGCTATTCGCAAGCGCTTTTATATCTTTTGCCTTCAAATTTTAGCTCTTACGAAGCTATTATTTAATTACTTTCCTATGCGACGTTTTTTTTTTCACAAAAGGCAATATTTTCTTCTGTGTGTTATTTTCTTTGTTAATCAGTATACTTTCTCTCCCGCAGAAAATAGCTTTAGAGATACTTTTTCCAATCATCTAGGTATCCTCTATTTGTTAAGAGTATTTTGAAATTCTGTACGTCTTTTTTTAAACATGGAGCGTGACACATTCGTTCTGGAGGAGGCGCCTCTCCTTCACGAATCCTGAATTTACGCCAGGCCAGATGGATGACACGAAAAAAAGGTTAGTGTATTAAAAGGTTTCTGTCTCTTTCTAATGCGTTTGCATATCAAGGGTCGATTCCTTGTTCAAAAACTCACGTCTAGCAATGTAATTTCGGAATTTTGTGTCATTGACAAAGCCAACGGATGTGAGTGTAACTGCTGCCATCAGTGAGACTGCAGTTCCGATTTTTCCTGAATCTCGTTAGTTGCCTCCTAAGAACGAATTCTTCACGGTGGAATAACAGGAGTCGCACTGGCCCGTCAACGCTTTCTAACTTTCGAAGGAACGGCAACAGATAGTGAATTCCCATCACGTTCCACGTATGTTGTCTATATTCGCGCTATTCTCACTGCCACCAAAGATGTTCACTCGACCGCGACAGGATGCAAATGACTTACTTTTTCTCTTACGAGCATGATGTAACGCAATCAGAGTGCGTACATCGCCTGATCAATAGCAGCTGAGTGCATTTACAGTAGCCGTGTTTAACAATGGGTTCGGCAGGATCACGCCGCAGTACCACTGTGGCGGCAACTGATGCCCAGGAGCAGCAACAGCCGCAGGTAGAAGAGCTAGATGAGGACGGAAGCCCCCGAATTGTCTTCATCACTGGTTGCTCAACTGGCATCGGCCTGGCAACAGCAGTTGTTCTTGCAAGCGACGCAGACAAGCGATTTAAGGTTTATGCCACAATGAGAAATCTCGGAAAGAAAGCAGCTTTGGAAGAAGCCGCTGGGAAAACTCTCGGCGAATCACTATTTATAAAAGAATTGGACGTATGCAGTGAAGAAGCCGTTAACAGTTTGGTAAAAGAGATTGAGAGTGAAGAGGGAAGAATTGATGTGCTCGGTGAGTGCGTAATAAAATAAGTAGTTCGTCTTCTTACCATACCCAAAAAGAAACAATTACTTCGATAGTGTCGAATCTTTTATGAAATTAATCACTTCTTTTATCCTTAACACTTCTTTATATTGATAATCGCAGGTTGGGCCCCCTTCAAATTAGTTACGCTGCGTTCTCGATCGATGAACGTTTTCTTTATATAGTCTATATAAGACGGCTTACTTGATAAATGAGTCACCCTGGTTTTAAAACGAGCAATAAAAAAAGGCCGCAACACAAAGTTACCTCATAAAGCAAAGTAGAAAACTTGAAAAAAACGTTTACATAACTTCTTGCTGCTTTGTTTAGATTGGGGACAGAGGAATGCATATTGCACAGATATTGAGCTTGTGTTTATCACGAGTTTCAGATGACCTTAGGAGCATTTTGGCGACTCACAGACGCTGCACTTCATAGTTTTCAAAGATTTGCAATCAAATATTGTGTTTAAACTTCGTTCTGCTTAGAACTTTCAGCGCCATAGATGAAATAAGTTACTATAGGCGATAACTCGTTAGAGCCCATAGACACAATGGGTAAATATTACCAAGGTCAGTAAACCTTTCTTTTGGCATTACTCAAAATGGACTTCATTTACTCTTCCTCGGTTACTAAACTCTTAAAATTTTTAGAGCCTGGCTCTTAAATGCTTGGCGAATTTAACCATAATGTTAACGACAAAGTCAAACGAAAAAAAAGGACAGTAAGTTTGTATACTGTTCCATATCAAATCTGCAAGAAAAGAGGCTATAAATACTTCTATGCTCTGCGTTGAACTCAAATAATTTAACTCGTGTAGACAAACGACTGATTGTAGCCGGTACAAAGTTCAATCATAACGTTTGTTTTGAGTCGTCTGCCGCGATCAAGCTTTTTTTCTATTTCGGTGGAAACATGAAACAGGGTATCTTACACTATGCTATCGGGCGTTTTTTTTTTTTTTTTTTTTTTTTTTTTAACTAGGGAGCGCAAAAGTATAACAGCGCATATGTGGGAAGCCTGATGGTAAGTTACACAGCGCGAATAACCGACGAATAGAATCGTTTACTTTCGTGCGGCCAAGTCTAGCACTCCCACCGAAGGGAGGAACGAAAGATCGTGCATTAGAGTACAAGTTTTCTCTGTCTTCTCGTAACAAGCTTTCATGTTTATCTTCTAATCTTTTTTAAAATTTGTCCACCACACTTAGTGAACAACGCAGGACAAGGCCTGGTGAGTGTATTTGAATGCATACCAATTGACAAAGCGCAAAACCTGTTCGATGCAAACTTCTTTGGGGTCATGCGAGTTCTCAAAGCTGCTTTACCGGGCATGAAAGCAAGAAAGAAGGGTCGCATTATCAATGTGAGCAGTATCATCGGAGTGAATGGACACCCATTCAGTGAAATATACAGCGCTTCTAAATTCGCCTTGGAAGGCCTGACGGAGAGCCTGGCTCCAACACTGAGGAAATTCAACATCAGGTAAACACATCAGTCGACTGGTAACAAGTTGAGGTTAATGTTGGGTTAGGGAAAGGGAGGGGAGGGTAGGTGCTCATTTGTTCGGATACTGACAACCATTCCACCACTACCCTTTCATAACCCATTACGTTCAAGAATTCTTCATGGCCATGATCGTGATTTTAATCGTATTTTAGGTGTTCCCTGGTTGAGCCTGGACCAGTGACAACCTCATTCAACAACAATGCCAAGTCACTGAGAGAGGGAATCGACTCATCCACAGCGGACGACAAGACCCAGGCCTTGTTACAGGAGGCTTTGAAAGAAATGTACCGTACTGTCACTGAGCACAGCCAGACAGCCGAGGAAGTGGCCGAAATCATCAAAAACGTGATACTCAGTAGAGCGCCTCATTTGCGATACCAAACAAATTCTCAGTACGCACCGGGAGAGGTACAAGCCAAGTTTTCTGATGCGACAGGAGACAAAGCTATCGATCTCATGGAAAAAAGATTTTACCCGGAGACAAAGTAGTAGAGTTTTAAGACCAAAGAGTTCGCAACCGAACCCGACTGCATTTCGCAGTCCAAGGGATTCGGAGATAATAATCACTTTTTTATTTCATTATTTTTATATCTAACATAGTCATATTTCTTTTTATAAAATATATATCTAAATAGAAGTAGTGATAGACATATTCCGTCAAACCAGCAAAGGAAAACGTCAACATTTCAGAGAAGGCCTTAAGATGTCTGAATCGAAACAATCATTAAATGGTATGTTTATTATATTATTCAGTCCAATTATTCCTTACCTGCATAGCTCTGAGAGCCACAACAAACGCACCCAAAGATAACTGGTGAGTTTTCAGCAGAAGAGCCCTGAGAATACATATAAACACAATCATCTCAGTCGGTTTACAGGATCTATAACGAAATTCTCTCTTGTGGCAGCCATATATTTCCTTGACACGATTACTGAGAATTTGGTGTTATGATGTCCGTGTAAAACCCCTCAGTTAACCCTTTACTTCCCAACATCAGTATGTATATTCTCCACACAGTTCTCTATACATTTCCTAAGGTGCAGACAAGGAGAATTTGTTTAACAATCAAGAGCTTGTTTAGTTGGTGATCATTTCTGTTTTTCTCATGACTTTAATGTGTGATTCAAGAGTGATATTTTAAGGAGAAATTAGATGCTAGTCACTCTAACGGATCAAAGGGTTGATAAGTTTGTTCATTCTAGTCACCTGCTGTGTACTAACGTATCTAAATTGTAAAGAGAAGTTACCCTGTATATCCAAGTAATATCCAACAGAGCGTCGAAAGTCATCCGGGATTAAAGAGTAAGAGAGATGGTATGTTTTGAGCTCGGTAAAGAAATAGAGAAAGATGTTTTTTTCGTCTTGTCCAAGCAGTATGCAGGACGTATGTCATATGAACTTGGTAGTAGACCTCGGTCATCCGTAGAGTCTCTGTGGCTCAGTGGTAGAGCATCGGAGCGCGGAATCCGAAGGTCTGAGGTTCCATTCCTCATGGGACTCAGAATTTTTTTCTTTGTCCCACGCTTGTAACAAGACGAAAAAACACCTTTCTCTAATCTAGGATTGAAGACGAGTTTATCTCGAGTGCTATTTCACTCCAAAACGAAACCATTAAGACACAAAAGTTCGATGAAAGTTTTTAAGACCTCAACATTTTCTTAAAAGTCAGTTTAGAAAAACAGAAGAGTATGACAGTTTCCTTTAATTTGTATCTGCAAAAGACACTTCGATAGATAAAAATATTTATTCAAGACTTCTAAAACTTACACTTTCTTGAATAAGTTCCTATATGTTATAATCTTTAGCTTCTCCAGAATAAGGTAAACACCACACTGGATAAAAAAACCCTGAAAAATTGAAAAAAGGCAATTTATATTTGATATAATAAGAGAGGAGTGGAAAACGCACTGCCCAGTGGTCAGAGCACTAGACTCAGGGTCGAGAGGTCTGGGTTCGAGACCGGTGCCGGCTCAATGTGTTTTGTTCTAAGGCTGAACACTTTACCCCCACAATGCTTCTCTTCACTCAGGAGTATAAATGGCTACCAGCGAATTGTCATGGAAACCTGATGAAATGCTGGGGGGTAACCTTGCAATGGACCAACATCGCATCCAGGGGGGGAGTGGTAATACTTCTTGTTGCTTCGCTACATGGAAACCAGGATAAGCTACAGCTGGGTGGGCCAATAGGCTTGAGTACAGACTTTACTTTTAATAAAGGATGAGGAAAGCAGCAAAATGAATACATGTACATGCTGCAGCCAACTCCATAGACATTACAGTTGGCTCCTGATGAACAGAACCTTTCAGAATACGATCGTTTTCTTTTTTTCTCGTCAGGTATCTGTTTCAAAGCGTAAGGTTATTGTAAGAAGAAGTTAGTTATCAATATGAAATTGGCAAAATACCTGTTCTCTCTCTAGAGTCTCGTTTAAAAGTGCAAGATTTCCCATTCTGAAAAAGACAACAACTCCAGGATAAATTTGTTTAAGTGAATGCAAAAAAAACAAATCAAATCAATTTTAGCAAGCCTCATGTCTTATAAGCTGCTGCGTGTGTCTCCATACCTGACAGATTTAACCACATCAACAAACTGGTTTAGGTTGTACTTAAAAAGCAAGTCCTCTTTTGGTATGTAGCCCTAATGTTAAAAAAAAAAACCAGCAGTTAAGAAACTATATTCAGTGTAAGGATATTTCGTTACTTAGGGCCAGTTATTTACACGAAGTCTCAACAGAACCTCGGTTTTATGCAATCAGTGGGCCTCGGACTTTCTCTATACGAGGTTTAATATAATTAAAAAAAAAGTCCTCTTACTGTTAGCTTTTGGCCATCTTAACGCTATTCACAAAAAAAGGTTCAGATAACGGTTCAAGTTAATTGAGAATCGTTTAATACGCGGTTTTGTTAAACAACGGCTAACCTTTGTGTAAATAATCAGACCTTAGTGTCTAGATTTCATTCAGTTCACAAGGTATAACTCACCAGAAGCATTTTCACTGGTATGAGATAAATTAGGATTGCTCTAGATAGGTGACAAAAAACAATCATGAATAATGCATGTAAATATGTTTCAATCTTAACAAATAACACTGCGAGAAGTATATTGCAAATTTTACAAAAGTGTGATTAGAAGCCATGGTGAAAGTTTTCTCCGTATTAACCCTTCAATTCCCAATATCTAATCAATGTTTCCGACTTCAAGTAGCATACAGTTCCCTTTTAAATTAGTCACAAGAATTTGGTGTTCCTTCAAAAAAGACACCCTCTCACTGGTAGGTGTTTTCATTCTCGTCAACTTTTTACTGCATACCGAAGTTACACAAATAAGCGTCGCGGCGCTTTAGCTCCCAAGATCTCGATAGAAATTCTCCTTACTGTCTGCCATACAATTATTATGATGTCAATTTGGAGAGTTTATTTTTATATAAACTAATAATCGCCTGATCAATATTTTTTTTCATTCTCATCACTTCTATGCTTGATATTGTATTGATACTGTAAGGAGAAATTCTCTCTAAGTCACTCATCGGAGGTAAAGGGTTAATTCTTTTCACGCGTCAAATGTGGCGCGTATTCAAGGGCGTGCTTATTCGGCACAAATTGGATGCGATGAAGAAATGTCCTTTCTGAATCTAACGGTATACTAGCTATTTCAAAATCTGTATGAAAATTTTACAGCAACAACAGAGGCGTCTTTTGATCGTCACCATCTGTATCTTCTGGATTTTTCGCTTGCATTACCAGCTGTGCCTTCACTCAACTTCCATGTTGCAAAAGACCTGCTAATTCGGGGGTGACGCATTGCAACTTTCTGTCCCAAATGCGGCCTATTCAGGGCGGCACTTACTTGAGTAAATACGATAATGTATAGACCTCATACAGAAAACGAACACGAGAATCAGTTCTGAGAGATAGTAGATTACTAATTGACACTCTGATGAAGGGCTAACGCTCGAAACTTCAGCCTTTAAACTCTTTACGGTGGCCAATTTA